GGTTTGCTCAATGGGGTCTGCACATCTTTTATCAGAGAGGCTCTAATGCCATCATGCCCTGGAGCTGAGTTTTTTAACTGCATTATAACCTCACACACTTCATTACTGTTTGGAAGATCAAAGCTATCCATTATTGGAAATGAATCTTTAATATAGTCAACTGGATCAATCGTTGTGTTTTGGATCTTGTTGGCAAGTGTGATACCTATACTTGAAAAAAAATTATTAAAATGACAAACAATTTTATATGGATCAGACAGAACAGAGTTTCCATTAACAAAAGTTGAAGGAAACTTTGATGCAGCCTTTTTTCTTTGTAATAATTGGTTAATCGTTTTCCAAGTGTTTTTTATATTATTTAAACATTTTCTAAACTGATTGCTGTAATATTTTTTCTTAGATGCTCTCAACAAATGAGCAAATTTATTTTTATATAATTTATATGTAGCCAGATTTAGTGGAGTTGGCCATGTAAGATATATTTTATATAATTTATTTTTAATTCTAGAAGATTTTTTCAAGCCACTTGTAAACCAAGGGTTATTTTTCCTCACAACTCCATACAGTACATGTGTTGAGTAGATTAAAGCCATATTTATCATTATATCAGCCATACCAGCTTTTTGTGTATTCACACCAGCTAATTTGGTCCCACTTAAATGGACCACAGTTTTTTTTTTTGTAGTAGCCCTGTGTCTGACCAAACAACTGGATAGAAACGCACTTATTGAGGTGGTCCACTTTAAATGGATTTCTGTGCTGTTTATTCAGGTGTGATAATGAAATGGCCATAATAAACTCACTGCAAGATTGACCCCTTTTTGAACATAAGCCAACATAACAGGGCTTGTAATGAAAGTCAAATCGATTCAGTTTATTTTTTAAGCTCCAATATTCTATACATGTCGACCCAAAGCCTTACAGCCAATTCAATCAATTCATACAGACAGCTGTTGAAAAGTTTAAAGAGTCTAAAGAAATACAACACATTGCATCAAGTCATTGATGTGCAGAATTTACTCCATCTGGATGAGCATGGTGTCCCTGCACATTTCTCCCTCATACCAAGCATACATAAAAAGAAGAAACCTCTAGCAGAACCAAGCTTAGTGTGGGGGGTTTCAGAAGACAGAGCAGACACATGTAAAGAACAAAGAAAAACTGAACCAGGAATATTTTCAATATTTTCTAAGTTTCTATGTAGTGAATGTGGTACTATAGTTTTAACTGATCTGTTATCTGTTACTTAGTGATGCTGCTCCCTGCACTGTGTGTAAAACCAATTGAGCAACAAATAAGCTTCTCTTGACATGATAATTTTGTAGCTGTAATATAATTACATATATAAAGAGCAGAACACAGGTCTGCCATGATACTTTCTTCCATCTGTCCATGCTTGGCTTGTTTATGAGTTGTGGTTCATTTGTAAAAACTACAATGCTAAAATGAACCTTACCAAATGGATGTATTTTTGCACAAAAAAGTGCACCTTTGGTCCAGACCAAACCAGCAAACAAAGGACTTTCCTGGTGTGCATACTCCCTAAACTTAGGAACAAATCACATCAGAGAAGTTTCCTTTAGTTTTTCAGGTTTTTCTCATCAAACCATTAAATAGATGAAAGATTAAAAAGCAGACAGTTGTCTTACTTAAAGTTAATGTTTTAGTTTGAGATATGGGAATCAAAGAAACTCTTTTTACCTGTCTACGTTCTTGCTATATTCTGTAATTTTGAATACATTTTAATCAGCTTAGAGGTTATATTTTATGCTTTTAACAATTTGCTAGAAAACTAGTTTTGTTTTTGTTATTTTGTAGTTGTGAAATAAATGGTAATTTTTGTAAAGCAAAGGAACAGTCTTGGAAACTGACACGTTTGAAACATAGACCTGCATAATACTAACAAAAACATTTATGACCTTCCACTTTCCCCCCCCTTTGCAATGATGTCCATAATGGATTGCTTTACCTTTTCTTTGGGTTTCAGGGACATAGCCCCTAGTCGTTCATAATGAAGTTCAACTTGTTCAGAAGGCCTCAGGCCGTTGCGGCTGCTGAGCCAACCAGTGCCACCACTGTGACCATGGCTCCCTCGCTGGTTTCAATCACTACTCCGGCTTCAGACACCTCAGGCTCCAACAACACAGAGATTAGCAAGAATGACATGTTTGAAGAGATCAAAACCAAATTCTTCAATGAAATTGATAAAATTCCACGTAAGTACCACAAACGTTGCAGAGATCTCTTCCAAAAACATTATATCTGAATTATAATGTTTAACCTTTGCTTCTTTAACCAGTTCCTCCATGGGCTTTGATTGCTATTGCTGTGGTGGCGGCATTGCTTGTCCTTACTTGTTGCTTCTGCATCATTAAAAAATGCTGTTGTAAGAAGAAGAAGAACAAAAAAGGAAAGAAGGGCAAAGACGGCTTTAACATGAAGAACATGCAAGGTGGCGAGGTATGATGGATCAATTTTCCTGCACCCCTGAAGGCTAGTGTAGTAATATGTTGTAATCTTTTTTCTTTCTTATTCATATTATATTTTAATTTATATAAATGATAACATATTTTACACAGAATACTTTTTTCTAATCAAGTTTGATTTTTCACCGGCAGCCCTTTTAGGCCAGGCAGTTGAGGACACAAGGAGAGCTCTCTTCCCATCTGCTTATTGTTGTTGTGTTGTCTTCTAATGTGATGTACTTTATTGTTACTCTGTGGTTAAAAAAAATGACACACATTGATAAGAGGTGGCAAAAAATATAGACTATAAAAATTATTTATGTTTCTTTATCTATGAAAAATAAATGCTTTAACAAAATGCAAAAATGAAAGAAAACTATTAAAACTAATGAGGTAATTTACAAATCTATGTGATCCACGTTCTTTGCTTTAGAAGTCGAACGTGTTTACCATCCTCATCTCAAGCGTGTCATTTCTCCTCATAACTGTGGTTGTGGTGGTTTTGATTGCCTCTTCTTTGTAGTGTGTTTGGTGTCTTGTGAGTTGAATCTCTTCCTCTCTCTGCTCTCCTCCTTTTTCCGCTTTCTTTCTGTTTTGTGTGTGCCTCGTGTTTCTTGACTGTGGTGGACCCCTGCTCTACGGTAGGTGGATAGCTCATGATACCTTCTGCCCCGAGGGCGGAGGGGGGTTTCATGGAATGAAAGTCGTAGCTTCCTTTGTCTCCCCCGTTTGTTGCAATGATGTTATGGTAGCCTAAGAATGTAACGATAAGAAAGCTATGATGTCCTCCATAAACCCAGGAGAGGAGAGTCTAACCATCTAACACAATGTTTGCTGGACAAAGTAACTGTTATTCACAACATGATATGCAAGAAGAAACTCTTAACATTATTAATCAATGCATGTGAAGAAGGGCATGATTGGTCATGTGGGAGACATGGAAATGATAATGATGAAAGTGCATGAAAGGCAAGAAATGAAAAATGATTGAGACAATCATAGAGACAGGAGGTTACAGAGACACCTAATGGCCCTAAATTAAAAGAAAAAGGCAAGGTTACTTTGCAAATGCTTTGATTCAATTTCAAAATATCTTTAGAGCAAACATTTAGTAAGCATGCAAAAAGCTGGCTGGGCTTTTTATCCTTGACACTTGACTGTGAAAATGGTGAATGCAAAAAGTGTTTTGAGGCACAGGAATAAAGGGTTAAACTAGCCTTGATTTTTAAAGCTTGGTATTTATCATAGTTAAAAAATAGATGAGAATAGTTTTCATCTGTCTAATGAAGAGCATAATAATCTGTGTTTTGCCTGGGCTGAAGTTATCTCCTTTTGCATTTCAAGAAACCATGAACACATATAGACTTCTTATTTCCGACATTTACAGTTGCTGAGGCATTTTCCACAAATATTTTAAATCACTTTGTAGGTTTAAGTCTTTTATTATTGTTATTATTGTTATGAACTATTTAATAGTGTTACCTATAATCGCTTCCTGGAATTTAGATATTTGAAGTCCTGTCATTGATTGTACAGGCCTGCACCTTCATAACAAATATAGAATAGAGCCTTCCTTAGGTATTATTACACTTAAAGGTTTTCGATCTTTTTTTAGCTGCTGAATTGGCGCCATATAAATAAACTGAATTTTAATCGGTCAGATAAATACGATGTAGCACTGATCCTTTAATTCCTACAAAATATTCAAGTCTTTCTAAAAGAATATTATGATCAACTGTATGAAATGCAGCACTGAGATCTAACGGGGCGAGTACAGATATAAGTCCATTATCTGAGGCCATGAGAATATCATTAGTGACTTTCACCAGAGCTGTTTCAGTGCTATGATGAGCTCTAAAGCCAGACGGAAACTCTTCAAAAAGTTCATTATGGTGTAAGTGGTCACACACTTGTTTGGCAACTACCTTATCAAGAGTTTTAGATAAGAAAGGAAGATTGAATATAGGTCTATAATTGACCACATCATCTGGGTCAAGAGACTTAAATACAGGTTTAATTTAATTTAAAGTACCACCGTTATTAACTGCCATAACCCATTTTTGAAGGCCTCGCATTTTTTTTATGAAGTTGGCTGGTAATCACTCTTCAACTCTTCACTTCAACAGTAGTGGACATAGAAAGCTTTATATTTCAAGCTCAGTTAAGATATATTTTTTGTTGAGTAGCATTTTTTTTGTATACACAATATGGATGTGTTTTTTTGGAAATACAAAAAATATTAATAAATACAAAAGTTTATGCCATAATTGACTATACTGATGGTGATGCATTCGTGTAGGTGTCTTGAAAAGAAAATACATTATGAAGTGACTTTCTCTTGGTGCTATATTAGACTAATCAAAACCACAGTTGAAACGGACTCACATGAATTACTGTATGTGATGAAGCAGTACAAAAGCATCAATCATTTCCTCATGGTTATAAAGAAATATCCTCTATATTTTATAGAGTTTTCCCCAAGTAAACAACTAGTTGTAGGAACTTATGCATTTATTCAGGCTTATTTATGCAGCACATTTAATTAAACCCAACCATAAGTTTCTAAGATCTTGATGAGATTTTATTAAGCTGCAGTATCAATCAGTTTAGCATATTCATGTTTAATAAAGACCCCTTAATTGCATGTCTCAGTCTCTGAAACCAGATTAAATCATCAGCGGGGAGAGAGGACACTAATCCAACAACAATCTTTTTAATCATTATTGAGTGAGACTATATCTGTACATGGTTTCTGGAAACTGGCTAATTTGCCTTGGATGCTGTTAATTTAAGTATATAAAATTAATTAATCTCTGTGTATATTATATTTACATTTATGGTATTTATTGGTAGGGCTGTTGTAAGCCAGTTCCTTTGAGGATTGATTGAAAAGGGCATCTCTGCTGATATCTGAAATTTAACAAGAGAACTCTGTTTTTTTTTTCTGAATTGACTCAAGGTTATGTCATTTTTTATCTTTAGTGGAACAAGCATGCAATGCCTCCACTGACACTGGCTGTCTCTGTCCCGCTCAAGCATGTCACAATAGTTGCCCACTGATCCAAAAACACTGAGGGGAGAAGTAAAGGATTAAAAAGTAGACACAAATTCTATGCAAAAATAAGATTGTTTCAAACTTAAATCATGTTTTATTGCTAAGGTAAGTCTTAACAAAAACATGTATCTCCCAATTTAAAAAAATCTTGGATCTCCAGTGTCTGTGGCATGCTGATGGTTATGGTGAATCCCTGTGGTGCAAATCTGAGTTCAAAAGTGTTTTAGTTAGTATTTTTATTTTGTCACCTTCATACAACAGAAACACCAGGATGATGATGATGAAGAAGAAGGAGAGACCGGGATGACAGAGGAGGAGAAAGAGGAGGAGGAGAAGGAACAAGAAAAACTGGGAAAGCTGCAATACTCTATTGATTATGACTTTGAAAATACAAAGGTCTGTGACTTTCCCTCCAAAATATATTGACCAAGTTTGATAAAATGAGATGTTAACTATTAAAGAAGAGATAAATGCAAAGCAAACGAAAAGGAGATAGGAAATGTTGCTGTAAATTAAAGGATACAAAAGTTTCCATTAGTACCGTACTTTATAAAATTGTGCAAATTGGTGTTTACCAAAGGTCCATGTAGTTAGTCACTATAGAGTTATAACTGTCAGATCATGTTATATTTATATAAGGTCTATGATATACACATTTTTTTATTTAAAAAAACAAAATTACAATAGCTCTGTCATGATCCTTTCTCTACATATTTATTCTCAACACAGCTCACAGTCGGCATTCTTCAAGCTGCAGATCTGATGTCCATGGACTCGGGTGGAACCTCTGACCCTTACGTTAAGGTCTTTCTTCTCCCCGATAAGAAGAAGAAGTATGACACCAAGGTGCACAAGAAAACATTGAATCCAGTCTTCAACGAGACCTTCGTTTTCAAGGTAGGTTTTCTTTGCTGTGATGGGATGTAACAGGAAAAAAGACGGTGACCAAGTTTCTGGTTTTATACAGAAATGCTTACACCAAACTGTCCCTCCCTATCAGGAATATATTGATCCTGCAGCCAGTTTAGCTGCTGCACTGGCTAACAAGCCCCTTAGAGTATCATTAGATTATGTGGGGAGCTGAGCCAATTTGAAAAAAATCAAAAAATAGTAAAAAAGTAGTTATGTCAAAATGCTACAGTAGGTCTAAGATTGGCAATGACAAAATGCTAGAAATAATAGAATTTCTGACTTCAGAGAACAAATGTACAGACAGTAGATTTTATCCACCATTTAGGACTTAAAGACTGTTAAAGTAACATACTTTATTTGTCACTCTTTCTGATTTCTCATCATATTCAGTTCAACAGCATTTACATCAGGCTGGATAAATACATATTTTATGGTGTATTTTTATTGCGTACATTTGAGAAAGCCAGCATCAGCATACAGTACATAAAATCCTGTCTTTAAACTATAATTTTGAATTGTTTTTCAATTCTTCATCATTTTTTGCATTTAAATGTCGGTTTTCCTTTTATTAACTTTAAGTTGTTATTACTAACGACTTAATAACATGACATTTGTGAAAGTACTAAATGATACCGTATGTAGTCTGTCCTCTTTCACACCTGTTTCCTGAACCATGTATAAAAAACATAGATACCTTATAACCTGCAGTGGTTCTTTCGATCAGGTACCCTACGACGAGCTGGGTGGAAAGACTCTAGTGATGTCAGTTTACGACTATGACAGATTTTCCAAACATGACGTCATTGGGGAAGTGAAGATACCCATGAACACCATTGATCTTGGACGTCCGATTGAAGAATGGAAGGACCTGGAGAGCGCTGATCAAGAGGAGGTGCCTTTGTTGATTATATCTACATAAAATACTATATTTAAAATTTGGTGAAAATACTTCATATTCCGTTATTATTATTATTATTATTCCGTATTAAAATCCCCCATAAAATTGTTTAATTACAAAATAAAATGCCTGAGGCTTCTACTTAATCCAAATTATTAGAGAGAAACTTTTTTCACAAATCTTGATGCAAACAGAAATGCTGGCTCCATCTCCCTGGCATCTGTTTATAATCTGTCTGTTTGAGACTATTTATTGTTAATATTTTATATTCAAAGTTGCAGCAAAGCCAGTGAGAGTTATGGATAACTCTCAACTGTTGTGCATTTGATGGTAAATACTTCATCAGTTGAAAATTAATTATATTTCACTTTAAAATGCTAGTAATTTTACAGAATGAATCCAGTTGTATGAAATCAGTTTTCTTAACATATAGAGTGCTAAAATCTTGTATTTTTTATGCAGTACATGTTATGCAACTCATCATCTTGAAACTTCTTACTGAAAGTGAAAAATAAAAACTGTAAAATTCCATTATTTGGAGATACAATCAAAATAAGCCCAAATAACCAAAACTAATGTATGATAAAAAAAACAAAACAAGAATGTTTAAATCTCCTTTGATTAAAAAAACTTAAAGGAGGTAATGTGCAAACAATATCCAAAGGGCTTGAGGATTGAGAGGAAAGTCAGAGGAGTGCACTGGACAAATAATTAAAGAGGTCAATTTATATAGATATTTGACAGACAGAGAATCATAAAAAAGAAAGCAGAAAAAAAAACTAAAATAAAATTAACAAACCCAATAAATCCAAGTAAGAGATATATCAGTTGAACAACCCAAATAACAAAAAACAAAAGCTGATTAGAGAAAGACAAAAAAGAGCATTTGTTTTTATTAACTTGCTATAAATCTAGCCATTTGTCTAATGAGCATGTGGACTTGTACTGTTCTTTTCTTGTTGTTGCTGCTCAGCCTGAGAAACTAGGAGACATCTGCATCTCCCTCCGCTATGTTCCCACGGCTGGGAAACTCACCGTCTGCATCCTGGAGGCAAAGAATCTGAAGAAGATGGACGCCTGTGGCTTGTCTGGTAAGGCTATCTGAAATTTAACTGGATGTGATTTCTGAATGACAAAGCTAAGATTTTTGCTGCAACTAAGTTTTTGTATGATGCTGTGCAAACTAGTCACAGTATTAGTCAGAGCACACATCCCTTTTGCCTATGTACTTATAAAAAACACAGTTTACTTTTTATATACTATAGTTTATAAAATGGTATTTACCGAAAATAGATGCTTAGATAACAATAGAATAAGAGACTAAAGATGATACTTATATTTTGTTTGTTGAAAATAGTTATCTCCTTCTCATTATCTGCTCTGCTGCCCAGATCCGTATGTGAAGATCCAGCTACTGCAGGGAGGAAAGCGCCTGAAAAAAAAGAAGACAACTGTAAAGAAGAACACCCTAAATCCATATTACAATGAGTCATTCAGCTTTGAAATCCCACTGGAACAGATGCAGGTACAGTAAAAGTCAAATCTGACCACCTAGGGCCACATAGAAGACAGTTAGTATTTCAAATACATTTGTTTTGGTGTGCTGCATTAAAGTAAAAGGCTAAAGATGCCAGGTTAACTTTTTTTTTTGCATTCATTTCTTTTAATTCATCTTACCTGTTGTGATTTTCACTGCATTCTGAATTTTATTCTTTTAAAGTTTATTTTGCCTTAATCAAAAATACACATGGGTTTTTGGTTTGGATTGTTCAAAGACCCATGAAATTACTTTTGACACTCAGGCAGCATCAGGTTCAGAAATCGTGAGCTACTTTAGAAAATTGGCATTTCAAGGTCTAGCAACAGCAACTTTTTGTTCAGTGTGTAAGAAAGCTTTTATCGTAATTGTCCCAGTGAGACTCTGAGTCAATACAAGCAGTAACACATTTCTCTTTAACTAAGCTGCAGTGGTAGCTTGACCTGGCAAATATATAGCTTAGTGAACTGAGATATGATGCTGAAAGAAAAACATATCATTAATGTTGAACGTATCTCTGTTTCTTTCTTTTCTTCATTCCCAGAAAATCTTGGTGGTGATCACAGTGTTTGATTATGACAAAATAGGTAAGAACGACGCCATCGGGAAGATCTTTGTTGGCAGCAAGGCTACAGGTTTGGGTCTTAAGCACTGGTCAGACATGCTAGCAAATCCCCGCCGCCCCATTGCCCAGTGGCACCCACTGCAGCCAGAGGAAGATATCGATGGTCAACTTGCAGCACTGGCAGCAAAGAAGTAACAAGCTTCATTAACCAGCTATTACCTGGAAAACCATCCCTACTTTGCATGAATCCTATGACCTAACAAATGACTGCTTGACATAAATCCCGCTCGGCAAAAAAGAGACATCTTAGGATAACTTCTTATGTACAGTTAATTTGATGAAAACTCTTTTCAAGCACCAGGTCTCAGTTTATACTTAGAAGGTTAGAGTTCAGTTATTAGGTCCAGATAGTAGTTTATGAATGATCAGATTCTAGACTTTTTCATTTAAAAGCTTATTTACAGGGTGCTAAAAATGGGTGAAAATAACCTTAATCACTATATTGGATAAAAGCTTTAGTTTAGTTTATGGAGCATGCTTTACTTGCCTCCCTTCTGTGGTCTACTCTGCGCAGAGCATACCTAGCGATGTATGTTGCTTATAAGTGTGCTGTGCCCTAAAATAGAAAGTGTGACAGTCTGGAGCAAAGGGCTGGTTTACATTCATTAGCGTTAGCAGATTTTTCTAGAATAAATCAGGTTGAAGTCACTAAATGCAGCAGCAGGTGCTGCGGTTTCTTTTCAACTATTATATTTCAATATTTCATTCACTGTTTAGCAAGACTCATATATGGTCTGATATGTGTCACCTGTTTCTCTTACCATGAAGATACATCTATGCATTTAGGATTAAAACAAAAATGGCAGATCAGATGCAGATTGGACATATGAGTGTGCCTTCCTGATATGACACTTGAGACGTATTAAACTGGTTTAACTGTTTATGTTCAAGAAGCTGAATCTTATTTAAAAGACTGTGGTTGTGCCATCTGCTTTAAGACTTAAGCTATGTTCACCATATGGGTTTTAACATCTATGAAATAAGTACAGAGGGTTGCAGATTATGCTTATGCTCAAATAGATACACGTTGCTTCCTTTAAAATGCTGCTATTACAACTTTTTTTTTCTTTCTGAATCCATTGTACCTCTTTGGTTGGTGTGTCATACTTTTACATGCACTCTCTGTCAGAGGTGAAACCTTTTTTATAGAGAAGGGGATTAGAAATGTAAAATGTAGCCTCTTGTTTTAAATGAATCTGAATTCATGTATAAAATGCAACTTTGTAGACTATTAACATGCAACTGCTGCATCATACATGCAAAAAAGTCCATCTTGTGGACCGTGGGCTTCAACCAAATAAAGCTGATCAGCTAGAAACAAGCTTTGGGATCCAGTTTCACAACCTCGTCATAGACAACTTGTAGTTACAAAATCGTGTGTACATACAGCCACTGGTTTGATTAATCCGATCCGATTTTTTTAAATTAAAATTAAAAGCCCTCTGACGACAAAAGCTTTTTCCTCCAAACTAATATAAAATGAGGAGAAAGGGCTTCCTGTCCAATTAAATCAGATCAAAGGTTCTCCTAAATTTTAACACAAATGAAAGAAAAACCTGAAAAGGACAGTGTTTGTTTATTTATTTGGTAAATTTTTTGACATTTCCTCAAGCATATTTTTTTTATCTTTGAAGCAGCTAACTGAAGATGAGCCTCAGAATGCTAGTGAGTCAATCCAAAGCTCTTCCATCCGCTGCAGAAATTATGCATAATGCTAAGTTGTTAATAGTCTACAGCATGTAATTACAACATGGTGTAAATATGTGCATGTTTTAAAGTTAATCTATATGATGTGTATGTGTGTGTTTGTGTTCAGTGTCATTTTTGATAATAAAATGGAGCAAAAACAAAGATATGCAATGATCTACAGAGTATGTATTTTTTCTCAATGGGCCTGAGTGTATGCTTAGATAATCTGTGTTTAACGTTAACAGTGTGTTTGTTTGATGTGTTCATTGTTCAATAGTCAAAGTCTTCAAAAATACAGCATGAATGTGTGTTTTATTTAAATTGTTTCATAGGTGTTACAATACAGTATAATCTAACTGAAAATCAGTTAATGTTAATTTAGGATAGCACTGTGTGTTTGTTACTAAGCAGCAGACTGTAAATATGTAAACCCCCTTTGTCTTAATGCCCCCTAAGTGATTTCTATGTCCATTCCTGCCAATGAGAGTCAGATACAGAAATATAGTAAAGTGTTTTAGATCCTCATCCTACATTTTTGTATGTAAATGTTACATGCGCTTATTGACTTCTTATCATCTTCTGTTTCTGATTATCACACAATATTGTTGTTGTCTTGTTCAGCATGGGTCTTTTCATCATCAATGTTGTTATTTTTCACAGAGAAAAAGAGATGGCATTGCTACAGCTCTGCATGCTCTGATTTGTGTCTTTGTTTCCAACCTTCTTCTGTATGTTATTTCAACACCCACTAAAACCCTACTCCTTGTGGCATATTCTACATAAACATTAGGCAATGTCATCTCATCTGAGGAGCTCAGAGAGATATTAAAAATAATTTTGCAAAGTGAATTTAATTAATCTTTGTGCATAGCATCTCTTAAAAATCCATACATTTTATGTTTCAGTTTACTGAAAGTTATTTTGGAACTGTTGCACGTAGAATTGTTTTTGCAATAGAGACAACAAAATCTCACGTCTTCCTGGGTCGATGAAGTACAAAGCAGACCTGAACTGTGAAAAATCAACTCCCACAAAAAAATACTTCCAACGTCCTCTTCAGATTCAACTATCTTTTTGGAAATTATATCACAAACAGAATACCATCGTGTTCTCTTATAAGAGAAAAGATGAACACTTGTCTCTTTTCACCATTGTTTTTTTGAGTTTTAGATTTGTGATGTTCACAATTTTTTTCTCTTAAGTGGAAAGAAAAAAAGAAACGACTAAAGAACACGGAAAAATAAATCAATTCTAGTAGGTTTGAAGCACCCAAGGGAGGGATATATACCTGTGTGTTGTCAAACTGTTCTCATAGAAATAAAACCATCTTGAGCTTCATTGTCTTATTTGGTGTGGAGCGTGCTTTTCCTCTTGTGGTCAATAGGTGACAGTGTTGAATAGCTCATGTTCTTAAGATCACAGTGGGAGAGAAGAGTTGAATGACAAACCAATAAATATCTCCCACATTTGGACTGTTATAAACAGTGATCAGTGGAAAAGATGAAAAAAGCATATTGTACATCTGTAGAATACTGTTCAATAACTATTTGACTTGTTTTATTATAAATGTTAACAAAGTACTTTGGGATATATGGGATAAATCTCAAACACAGATTTTTGTTCACCTTCAGATATGGCTATTTTATTTCTTTCGTTTTTTTTATTTACTTATTGCTTAACTAGACAGCATAAATCAATATCATTCAATTAAGTTTATTTATATAGTGCCAATTCACAACATGTCAATTCAGGGCAATTTACAGAGACAGTACATGCAGAATGGTTAAAAATATAGAGGGGGTAAGTTTTTGTGTATGTAAGATTCAATGATGTAAGGTGAGACTGAATGCACTAACCCTTCTCAAACGGAAAAGTATTAGTGTCATATGCTTAAACCCTCCACTTACCTTATTTTAGTTTCTGTTGGGTTCCACAAAATGTATGTAAACAGAACTACTGGAAATATACTACTGATTCTACATGCCGTATGGTTTTTCATTAATTACCATTTGGGGTACTTTAGTGGCAAATAATAAATATTAGAAAATTTGGAAGAGTATACTTTCCCCAAGACATTTTCCTATTAATTTATCAGAGCTTTAGACTTTCTTATGATCTTTAATATGTGGTATGTATTGTTTTATTCCCCATCGGCGAGTTTAAGCCCTCATGGTTGATATATTTTTCAAAGTTACGAAAATTTGCACTACTATGTTTTTATGTTCTAAATAACAGACTGCATGTTATTTATCAAATATTATTTAGAATAGACCTCATTATTCTAAATAATATGTTAAAGCATAAACATGTGTTTCACAACACCGGAGAAAACTGTAAAATCAGAACATCAGCCTTATAAAGAACTTTATTGTTTTTTACACAACCAATATAACAACAATGCAAAATGTCATGAGAGTCTCAGCAGATCCACAGTCTTTAAAGTCGTCAAGGCAGAGGTCGACTTCCACCCTTTAATGGAAATAAAAATAGCTTCCCCCTTGCTTGCCCCCGCCTGCTTCCTGTTTTACTTGGAGAGTTTAGTGATGACACGGATTAAAGCCCCATTCTCATCCTTCAACCTCTGGTTCTCCTGCTTCAGCTCAGCTTTCACCTAGGAAAAAAGCACAGAAAAGCCTAAACAAACATTTCCAGGGTCTACCGTGCCTCTTGACTGCTGGAAATTTCCCCCATACCGTGCAGGGTTAAGTGGGTTTAGACACTAAATAGATAAATATTTGTAGTTATTATGATAAGGGTTGTATAACTAAAACATTTTTAATTACTTTTTCCTCCAGTCTAATAAATCACTACCTGTTGGTGGCTTTAACCATGATCACAATGATGACTAAAACAGTTGATTATGCTTTTTAATTCCCTCATCCATATTAGTAGAGGAGGGTAGGGGTGTTCACAATCTGCATCAAAATCAGAATCGACAAACACAAATAAAATGGTTATATATATATATATGAATTTGTTGATAAAATTATCCTACATCAAAGAGGAGATAGCAGGTAGAGTTAGCATTTCCCTAAGATGCAGCCTCGATGTGATGATTAAGAAAAATATTTTTAATATATTAGGTCTTGTTTTGCTTCTATTAGGTCATAATTGGCCTGATAAAAAAAAAAATCACACTGATTGTATATGAGGGATACAATACAATAACACATTTACACAGAGAAACAAACACACACTTTTGTCCACATTCACAGCGTGTCTCTAAAGTGAGGGTTTATTATCAGCATAGAATCCCATGCTGTAACTCTTCGGACATTTCATTGACAGACAACAAAAACCTTTGTTAGTATCTTCTAGGGCAGCATAGAGCAGTCCACTGTGATTCTACAGTGAACAAATATTGCTCACTAAGGCTGTGGTCTCAATGTACTTACAGCTTCCAAAGCCTACACACAGCAGAATGGTGACAAGTGATACCAGCTGAAGCCAACAACAACAAAACATTTGGTTTGTGTGTGCGTGTGTATTTTTTAAGCCTCTTAGAGTAACAGTATTTAATAATTCATTTTCTTATAAAACAAATAAAAACTACCTTTAACTGTTCTTCCATATCTGATATCCTCTTTTTAAGGCTCCAACTTTCCTGTGAAGATCATTTATTAAATGTGAATTATATTGCTTCATAAAAATACACAAAAAAGACAAATTAGCGTGTACCTTTTTCTCTGCTTCTAGCATGTGGGAGCTACAATCATCTTCTGACCCCTTCTGTGCAAATTGGAGATTGTTTTTATTAAAATGTTTTTTATTATCATATGGGCTATAATAAATTGAATTTCATACCTGTGCTTGATGCAGCTGGTCTTTAACTGTGGCCAAGTCTTGTTTACTGGTCTCCAGTCGGGATTTGAGCCTTTCATTTGTTGCCAGTGCCTTTTCATACATCTGTAAAATTTACATGTTTTCATCACCACAGAGACATATTCAAAAGCCAGGAAATTTACACAAATAAAAACCTAAAACAACTGAGTTAAATGTGTACTTATAGTTTAAGAGGCAATTTGTGTGTGTGGTATCTGTAAGTTATTTAAATAATAATAATTACAAAGAAGCACCATTTTCAATAGGGATGAAAGGGATTTTGGGATTTAAATAACTAGTCAAAACAGCTGATGGATAGATGTATCTAAGTGCTTAACAAACAACATTAATTTGGTACCCATATAAATACCTCATGGCTTTATTATGCCATTTTGTTGTATTCACTGATTAACTAGATTAAAAGAGACCATTCTGTTTGAAACAAAATACTTATGAAAGAATTTCATGCAAAATTACTTATTAGCATAGCATAACTTCATCTTTAGTTTTCAATTTTCTTATTGAAGGCCGAACTGTAGAGGAAGAATATTTGTGGATAAAACGGGGTGCCATGCATCTTTTTTCTTTTTCAACAGAGTCGCGGTGGGGGGCCAGTGCCTAGCTCGGGCGAAAGGCGGGGTACAACCTATACAGGTCCCCAGTCTGTTGCAGGGCAACAGAGAGGCTGTGTCTGAATGTTCGCCTTCATCACTTTATAGGGCACAATGTAGTGGTTACGCCATTTTAGATCAGTGTCCGAACGGGTAAAGGGAAAACAGGAAAAGTAGCGATATTCACTAGAAGATGTTCACTAGACAAGGAGATATATCGCGGATTGCTTTGCGAGCTCTCTTGCTAATAATTATGGGATTTGTTGTCACAGCGGCGACAAATAGCAAAGATGGCGCAGGCAACGTGCGGGTAGGCGGAGTCACGTGACCATTGGGGAGTGAAAAGTAGTGATCATCTGTAAGAAAGGTCAGTTAACTGAGTTCACTATGTAGTCCCCTCTCTATAGGGACTGAGTGATTGTGGGGTTAGGGCGGACGTTCAGACACAGCCAGAGACATACAGTACAAAGACTTACAACCATGTAAAGACACATTTACACCTGGGGACAATTTAGACATACCATTTAACCTAACAGTCATTTTTTTGGACTGTGGGAGGAAGCCTGAGTACCTACAAAGAACTGACGTATCCACGGGAAGAACATGCAAAATCCATGCATGTCTTTTATGAGATACAGTGATATGGAAATAGCAAGGAAAAGTTTCAAAAATTGTTTCAAAAATTAATATGTAATTTGTAAAGCTTTCTCTTGTGCTTTATGAGTCTGAAGTTAACAATGATGTGAGGGTATCTATGATAGCCGAGTTGCTTTTATCAGGGTACCATATCATGTAGTTAAACAGTATATATTATATCAGATATGTTACTGATAGATGAAATAAAACCAAAGAACTGACATATGATATACTTTCTTTTTACGATGACTAGAATAACATCAGCAGATGAAAAGACTAACAGTCAAACTGCATGATTTACCTTTTTATAGTCACTATTCATCTCTTCTTCTGCCTTTTTCCTTGCCGACAGCCTGTTCTCCCTTCGTAAAAAATAAGACTCTGCATGGTTTGTTGATGTGTCGTTTGGGACATCAGATGAGCTGGATGAGCTCAGTCTAAATAAATAAGAGCTTATTATTATCAGTTTCTCTCAAACTTTAGCAACAAATCTTGCACTATAAGGATAATACTTGTGTTTTAGTTGTCCAAATCATTGGTAAACTTACCTAGACAGCCTTTCATGCTGAAATAAAATATATATATATGTTTTAGAGCATGTCTGGAAAAAAATCGAAGACAAAAGACTGAGTTGTTTTTATTTTCTTATTTTGTTTTGTCTCAAACTAAACTGTTTTTCTCATGCATATCAGCTTTGTTAAATGTCAACATAGCTCTTATGACCAAATGGCATCTTTTAAATATCATACAGTTAATATGCACACATTTTCAGAAACAGAATCAGAAATACTTTAATGAACCGAGGGGGAAATGATCTTCGTTACACACTCCAGGTATACAAAGAACATATTACAAACATTCATCATCCAAAGAAATAAGTAGTAATGCCATTTTGTCCTACTGTACATTTGAAATGTTTTTATGTAGGCTGTTTAAAACTTTATGGCAGCCAGACACACCAGACCAAAGTAAGCTAAAGGAGGAGAGAGGAAACGATCCCTTAAATAAACTGACAAGCAGAGATAGCTAAACATATCCAAAAAAGGTAATAACTCCAGCAGTGACTCTGACATTTTGCTCACTATATCCTGCTTAGTAAGGAAAGGTTATGTGAGCTATGTCCTTAGGGAATTGCAGGCAAAAGTATCTGTTAAAGAAATGATATTGTCCAAATACATAGAAAAGAAAATTTAATTGTCAGGGTTTTTTATATAAACATATAAAGAGAAATCAAGGAAACAGAGGTCCATTGTTTAAGATTAAATGTCAGCTAGAGTCATAATGTTGCAAACACATGGATGAAAAAAAAAAATGCAATATCTGTAGAGCACACAATATCTGATAAATAAATCCCAGGGGGTGCAAAACAAAAATATTAATAAACTGAAAAAAAAGAAATCATTACAAAAGCATCAAGCTAGCCATATCATCTTCATCCTCTGAGAAGGTAAATATCGGAAGAACTTTTCTTTTGTTAACACATCCTTTTTCCTAATATGGTGTCAAATTTGTGGGGCTTTCCTATGAATTTTTTCATGAGTCATTACAAAATGTACAAGCCCGACTCTGAACTCAGGCTTTGTAAATCTTATTTTAAGTTTTTTCAAGCGTGTTTATATTTCCTGTTTCTCTGTGTTTCCCTGTGATAAAGGGGTTCTGTCAAAGACCTGTCCATGTGTTTCCCCCATTTCATTAAACAATACATATTCACAAGCAACATGTGCAAATTGTAGATTTTAGTCCTCTGTTTCGTTTGCGTTTTTTTGCACCATGTTTTTTCTCACAAACTTGCTTACATTACATCACTGCTGCACTTTAAGAAATGGAAATGTCATGAGAGCTGTACAAAACGAAATTTTGCTTTGTGTACACTCTGTATACAAAACGACAATAAAAGTCTAAGTCTAAGCCTCAGTTCACATGTTGTTACAAGTTTCAAACACAAAGAAAATCATTCCGCAGGAGCAAATTTAAAACATTTTTTTTTCTTTTTTTAAATAAATTTTTCAAATTACATTGATACAAGAGAGACAGTTTATTTATATACGTAAAAGTACATTCCTAAAAAATTAAATAGAGGCTATCTGTTAGTTTACACTAATACTAAATGTTGACAGAGGAGGCTACTCCGTCTAGCAGTCACATAAAGGCCCCGTCCACACGAAGCCGAACCCTGGCCTAAACGCACAAATTTTTCACCAAACCGGCCTCTCATCCATACGAAGCCGGCGTTTTGGGGTTCTGTAAACG